GAGGGGATGAGGAACGGTGAGGGCGGCTGGGGCGGCCGGGAAGGCAACACAGGCGAGGTGCGGCGCACCTCAAACTCGAGCGAGTAGCGGGAATCTCACCCGCTGCTCCGGCGGGAGATTGCTCCCCCGCCGCCCCCTGGGTCACCCCGAGTGACCTCGCAGCCCACACCGTGAGGCGCTGCTGTCAGAGGGGTTTATCACCGCCGTATCCACCCCACACTGGCCGCCGAGGGGCCCGGCGGGCTGAGGCGCGCGAGGCGGCTTGGGCACCCGTGGGTCGGATGGATCCGTCCCGGCACGTTGTCCCGCGGCGTGGCCGTGTAGCTGGCACCGGAGTCATGACGCACACGCCTACTTGCGGCACGAGGGAAGGCGTGACGCGTCGTAAACGGCCGAGATGGGCAAACGCGAGGGTCTCAAAAAGCCAGTCCGAAGCTGAAAGGGTGACCGCGGACGATGAGGGCGACGATTCATCGCGGCTACTGAGCAGGCAAGGTCCGGACCTACAGGATGGAGGGGCGAGTAGTGAGAGTCGGGACGATATCTTCGCGTCGGGGGTCGGAAATCGCGTCGGGAGGCCAAAATCCAGATCGGGCGCCGAAGCGCAGTTAGTGTTGGTGTGGCGGTCTCGTCGAGTTCTGGCCCGCGAGCGTCCTACAGCAGTCGTCTCATGTGATGAGGTGGTCGCGGAGCGGTCGCCAGGACCTTGGTAGTGCCTGCATCGCGTGCGCCGGCCCTCGGTGAGCCCTCCCGAGGCCTCTCACGCCGCCAGCCGGGGGACGGCAGCCGTTGGGATGGTGCCCTCGCAGCTCGCCGGCGCGGCGGGGGCGAGGCGAGTCTCGCCGGATGCGCCCGACAGCGGGAGCGGCCGGCCGGCATCCTGCCCGCCACGGCGGCGGCAAGCTGCGACTCAAGGCCGAGCAGTTGCGGCGACTTTTTGCTCGCTCGACTCTCTTGCGAAAACGCCGGTATTTCTCGTGGTCGCTCGTCAGTGCCAAAAGCCCAATGTGAGAGGCGCGCCACGCCAAGGGGGACAAGTGACGGGGGGGGGAGAGTAGTGTCTTTCGCAGGTAAAACGCAATTTTTTTTCTCGCTCTGTGAGGAGCCCGTGAGCTCTGTGTGTCCGTACCACCACACTCGTGAGGCACGCCGCGACGCACGAGCGCGCAGGCTCTCCCACCGGGGGCAGTGGGCACCCCGGCCCTTCGCAAAACGGCCCCCGCAGCGCAGGAGCTCGGCAGGGCTCGGGTTGCCCGATCTAGCGCCCTAGCCCGGCTAGGCCTCCCCGGTGGAGCTGTCGTCGCCCAGCACGCCAAGGTAGACCGCGGCGCCCGTCCCTATTTGTGGCACGCCCGACTGCCGTGACGAGAAGCGCCGTTCGCAGGACAAGCCCCCTAAACTATCAGCAGCGGCGCGTGCCGAGGACGAGGACGTTGGAGAGGAGTCCTCCTGCGCCGCCGCCGCGGCTGGGCCGACGAGGCGCCCTCGCGCGCTGCGCCTTTTGCGACTTGAGCCGCTCAACCTGGTGCACAGGGCAGCGCCAGGGCGGCGGCGGTGAGGGAGGGAGGGTCGAGGCAGCGAGGGGTTTCAAGCGGGACAGAGGGGGCGCTGCACAGAGGAGAGGGCAGAGGAGAGAGGAGCGGGTGGCGGGCAGGGGGGCGGGGGCGGGCAGCAGATGGGGGCGGCAGGGTTGGCAGAGGCGAGGTGGGGGGGAGGACAGCGGCGGGAGGACGAGGGGGAGAGAGAGCCTTTTGCTTCTCCTTGGACGCCTGCCGCGTCTGGATCGCCTGCAAGAGTGGGGGAGAGCTGTGTGCGAGGTGAGAGTGGGTGGGCGAGAAGGCGGCGAGAGGAGGTTGCGTTGCCGTGTGTCGAATGGGTCCAAAATGCGTGTGTGATGGCGCGATTGGCTCGCGCCTCCTTTGCCCGCCTCTTCTTGTCCGCCTCGGCCTGCTTGCGCTGCTTGCGCGCCTTCTCCTTTGACGCCGCCGCCGACTGCGCCTTCGTCACCACCGCCCTCTTCTTGTCATCGGCCGCCTTGCGCTTCTTCTGAGCCGCCGCGACCTCCCTCTCCCGCTGCGGCGGGCGGGGGCGGCGGTCAGGGTGGCAGAGGCGAGGGCGCTGTGGAGAGAAGGAGGGGAGCTCGGGAGGTGGACGGCCTTGCCTGCGCCGTCGCCTTGGTGCGCTCCCGATCCCTCGCGGCGCGCTCTTTCTCCCTCGCCTTCGCCGCCGCCTCGACCCGCCCGGCCGCGTCTAAATTAAGCGAGACAGAGTCTGATAATGCATGCCACGCGTGAAATCCAATGCGTGCCACGCGTGAATTGTCTGCTGACCTGCATGCGCTGGCAGCGAAGCTGGAAGTGAAAAGCCGAGCGTGGCAATGACGCTGACCATCGTGGCGCGGCGGCCGAGGAGCTGCTCCGACGAGAGTAGTGCGGGCAGCGGCGGCGGCGGCTGCGTTGACGAGGCACGATTGGATCGTGGCAACGGCGCGGGAAGCCGAAGCGCCGCCGCGGAAAAGGCGAAGCACAGCAACAGCAGAGTGAGGGCCCGCATCGTTAATTGCAAGCTTATTTATTAATCGAGGGCACCACATGCGCACTCCGGCGGTCGTCGCGCCCCTGAGACTCGATCCCCAGCGGGGAGAGCAGGGCGCGACCGCGGGAGCGCGCGGCGGGGGTGGGCGGTCGGTGCGAGGGGAGAGAGGTCTCGGCTGGGCTGGGCCAGGCGCTGCGGTGGTGTATAACGCGCCTGCGCGGAGCTGAACACGCGTGGCCACAAAAAGAAATCGCGACCAGCCGAGAGTTCGGCGTCCACCCATACTGCGTTGGTGTCCAGCCCGAGCCTGACTGTTCTTCGCCTTTCGATCCATCAAATCGGTACAGAGTGCTTTGCACGGCGTACACCTGTTACCCCTTACCCCGCTTACCCCAGTGTGTGTGTCACGCCGGTGGGAGGCACCGAGGCGTCTTGGACGCTCAGCTCTACCTTAGCTCCTGAGGGGCGCGTGGTTCTAACCACGTAGTATGACTACAACCCACCACAGACACCCTCCCTGCTCCACATGTGTGCACACACCCTCTCCCCTCTCCTCTCTCTCTCTCTCTCTCTCTCTCTCTCTCTCTCTCTCTCTCTCTCTCTCTCTCTCTCTCCTCTGTCTCCTCTCCTTTGTCTGTGCTGTCTGCCTGACTCAGGCACTAATTCTGCCGATGTGTGATTGTGTGTGGGCTGCTCCGAGGGGGCCCTGTGCAATCCGACGGGTAGGGGGTCTGTGCCCGGGCGGTGTCCGGTGCGGAGTCTCTCTCTGATCCCGCCTGGGATGTTGGGTGTGAGGTTGTGGCGGCTTCGATCCCAAGGGGGGGAGCTGATCCCACTCATAACCAACTCTCACGAGGGGCAGTAGGTGGGCGAGCTTCAGGCACGCTCATCTCGATCGTCAAGGCGTCGCTACGCGCGGTCTTCCGCGGGGGGAGCTGCGTCGACGGGTGCGGGACCGCGGCGCAGCCAGTGCCGCGGCGAGGCCTCCGGCTGTTTGCGGCGGGCGGCTTGCTGCTCGCTGCATGGCGAAAAACTCGTCTCGCCACACGCCAAGGGCTTATGCTCTGGCGAGACGTGAGGCGCATGCGCCCAGGAGGGGAGGGGGCATGTGTAACGACACTGCTAGAGATGCCTTTCGGGGCCCAGAGATAAAACTTCTGTGATGCCATGCGTGACCTAGTAGTGTCCCCAGCTATGGGCGTGTCCACGTTGGAGCCAGGTGTGGTGTGGGCGCGAGAATAGCTCCGCCGTTCATGGAGGCAACCGATGCGAGTCGACTGGTGTGTGTCGTCGTGGTTTCGTATCAAGAATACTCACTCGCACACTCACGGCGCAGACCGCCGGCCAGAGCGGAGCGACGCAGAAAGAGAAAAACAAAATCACCGCACATCACCGTCTACCGGCGATTCTACGTATATGCCGCTCTACACCAGGAGCGCGACAGCAAAGAGCCGCGCCGTCGCCATCGGCGCCACCTCCTCCCAGGCGTTGGAGGCCGGGTCGAACCGCTCAACCGTGTTAGCCGGCCGGTCGACCTCAGCCTCAGCCTCCTCTTCGACCCTGCCGCTCACAGCGTACAGCTTGCCGTCGAGCATCGCCACGCCGACAGCAGCTCTCGCGACGCCGCCATCGGCGCCACCGCCTCCCACGCACCCACCGCAGGGTCGTACCGCTCGACTGAGCTGAGGACGCCGCCGTCGTCGTTGTAGCCTCCCACCGCGTACAGCTTGCAGTCGAGCACCGCCACGGCGTGACCCTCGTGTGGCATCGCCATCGGCGCCACCGCCTCCCACGCATCCGTCCCCGGGTCGTACCGCTCCACCGAGCTGAGGTGGTGGTCGTCGTCGTTGTAGCCTCCCACCGCGTACAAATTGCCGTCGAGCACCGCCACGGCGGCAAGATTCCGCGCCTCCGCCATCGGCGCCACCTCCTCCCACGCATTGGACGCGGGATCGTACCGCTCCACCGAGCTGAGGGCGTCGTCGCCGCTGTAGCCTCCCACGGCGTACAGCTTGCCGTCGTTGAGCACCGCCACGCCGGGCCTGCTCCGCTCCTCCCCCATCGGCGCCACCGCCTCCCATGCATCCAGCGCCGGGTCGTACCGCTCCACCGAGCTGAGGAAGCCGACGCCGTCG